TCAGCGGGGAGTCTGCTTCTCCCTCTGCCTGCTGCTCCCCCTGCTTGTGCTCTCTCTGTCTCTGTCTCTCTGACAAATAAATAAATAAAACCTTAAAAAAAAAAAGCAGAAATGGGGCAGCTGAGTGGCGCAGTAGGTTGAGCATCCGATTCTTGGTTTCAGCTCAGGTTGTGATCTCAGGGTCGTGAGATGGAGCCCCACATTGGGCTCTGTGCTCAGCACGGAGTCTGCTTGAAACTCTCTCCCCCTCTCCCTCTGCCCCTCCCCACTGCACTCTCTCACTCTCTAAAATAAATAAATAAATAAATAAATAAATAAATAAATCTTTAAATAAAAAAGGGCAGAAATGTAATATCCTGGATATAATAATCTTTCAAAATAGAACATATCCTGAGCCACAATATTAACAAACTACTCAACAAAGTGTTTCCTTTCCAATGTTTGCACAAATACATGTACATTGATGACAGATGGTATCATCAACAAAACACCTGTATCCTAACCATGTAAGTTTAAAAAAAAAAAAAAAAGATATGCATACGTGGCTAAAGAAACTTCCCTTCAGCACTACCCTTCTTCCTACCCCCAAAGTAAAACCAAAAAATGATCAACATTCACATAAGCAGAACTATTTTTTTATTTTTTTAAAACTCTATGCCCAATGTGGGGCTCAAACTCACAGCCCTGAGATCAAGAGTCACCTACTCTATGGACTGAGCCAACCAGGTGCCCCCATTTTTTTTAATAACCTTATAGAACATCAAGTACAGGTTCATTTTGCAAATGACAAAGCAGAAGCCTGGAAAGGATAAATCTGTCCAAGGTCCCACAATCAGTTAAGCAACAGAGCTATACCTAGAAAACCCTGGTTTGGCTCAGAGTTCAGTGTTCATGCCTCTTACACCAGCAGTTCTCAAACTTTTAATCTCAGGACCTCTTTACACGCTTAAAACAGTTAGGAATTAGCAAAGACCACAAAGAGCTTTAGTTTATTGCCTTTTAAGAACCACTGTTATAACCATGTTACTTCCTCCAGAACTGCAGGCTTTATCAATATCTATTAAACTTACTCCCATTTTACAGATGGAGAAACGGAGGATGATACCTTGCATGTCAGCTATCAAGCCAATCATAAGACAAACATTAGCATACAGGTACAGAGAAATCCTACTTAGATGCTCCTTTTACTGTCCTACTATATTCAACATTCCTAAGAGAAGATCTAAACATCATTTTCCAATGGCTTAAACCATTTGAACAGCTTTTGCCAATGTTCAAGAGAACATTCAAGCTCTGGAGGAAAGGACTTCATGTAAACCTAAGATTTGTCTGATATAATCCATAAATTTATTCAGACTCCAAGAGTGAAATAGACACATAAATACACACAATTTCTTACAGAAAAAATTATTTCACACACCTGTATCTATACAGAAATTTCTTTAAGTACTACATGTATCTTATCTCTAGAAATATAATATATAACTGAAAGCTTATGGTCAACTATACCAAGGGTTGCCAATGAGAACTGGTATGATCAAAATTAAAGTCACAGGGCTCCTGGGTGGCTCAGTTAGTTAAGCGACTGCCTTCAGCTCAGGTCATGATCCTGGAGTCCCGGGATCGAGTCCCACATCGGGCTCGCTGCTCAGCGGGGAGTCTGCTTCTCCCTCTGGCCCTCTTCCCTCTCGTGCTCTCATTCTCTCTCTCAAATAAATAAATAAAATCTTAAAAAAAAAAAATTAAAGTCAAAAAGGTCTTTCTTTTCACCCAATCAGCAACATAAACAAACAACTGGTATTTAAATGCTTTCAAAACCCTTTATAAAAATTGCATGTACTCCCCCTCCACAGCCTGGCTTAATACTTCCCACTTGGTGGGAATGCAAATATTTCACAAATAACATTTTTGAAAATTAGGTTAGTAGGCAATGATTGTGAATTACTACCCTAACAGATATTTCTAAGACATTTTCCCAGCATCTCTCCACTTAGATCACTTCTGCCTTTTAAAATTTAAGACCATGGGGCACCTGTCTCAGTCGACAGAGCACGTGACTCTTGATCTCAGGGTCATCAGTTTAAGCCCTACACTGGGCACAGAGCTTACTTAAAAACAAATAAATAAATTAAAAAATAAAATTTAAGACCAATAACAAGTTATACTGCTCAGTTTTCAAGTAATCAACTGCCATAACTATTAGAATGACAAGTCAGGGAGCCTGGGTGGCTCAGTCAGTTAAGTGTCTGCCTTCGGCTCAGGTCATGATCTTGGGCTCCTGGGATCAAGCCCTGCGTCCGGCTCCCTGCTTTAGTGGGGAGCCTACTTCTCCCTCTCCCTCTGTTCCTCCCCTCTGCTCGTGCTCTATCTCAAATAAATAAATAAAATCTTTAAAAAAAAGAATGACAAGTCCCATCAAATCTCTGACCTTTATACAAAAAAAGTTTATCTGTCAATCATAATATTTCAACAAGCCAGTCTTATTTAAAATAAAATACAAAACAAAACAAAATCTTTTAAAGACTGAGCCACTCATTTTTCAGTGTATGATTTAGCTAAGTCATCAGTTTATTTCCCCCCCTTCTTGCCTTCTGGCTATTTTTTCACCACAGAATCATAGAAAATATCTTTTTTTATAAACACTAGTAAAAATCAGAACTATTTTTTGTTCCTATTTTTAAGTGCTCAACCAAAGTTCTGATACAAAAAAAATCTGTAACTATTGTGTAAAATAAAATTAATGATAATGTATAGAATTGCTCTATTATTTCTACCTCACATTAGGAGAGAATCAAGAGTGATTCAGTATTGTGGGTTCTACTCATTCAAGCACTACCTGTCAGATTATCCTTTGACTATGATTATGACTTGAGATGAATGACACTTCAGCCTGAGACAGTTCTGAACACCCACTTGGTGCTCCTTCACAGTAAATAATCAGGGAGCATCACACATTTTTAAATTAACATTTATATACGTGGTTCTTTACAAGGGGTTTTTCATGCAGCTTAAGACTCTCCTGTAACTAAATGTTTCAGTTTTTCTCATTATCTCATCTGTATATAAAAGGCAAAATACTGTAACAGCTACAAGCTCTAAGACCTACAACAAATAACCACAATAGTAGCTAACACAAACTTCTTCATTGTAACACTTGGGCTAAATTAAAATGATCATAACCACATTAGACATGGCAGCTCAAGGAGGCATTAATGCCTTGTGGTTAAGAACATAAGTTCTGGAGTCAAAACTGGGTTCAATTCCAGCTCCACCAGTTACAAGCTCTATAGCTCTAGTCAAGCTCTTTGATCTCCCTATGCCTGTTTCCTCCTCAGCTGTAAAATGAGGAATACTAAGTACCCACCCCATAGGGCTGTTTTGAGAATTCAGATTATACAGGTGAAGGTCAACAATAAGCACTTTTCAAGACCAATACAAAAAAACTGACCTTGGCATAAAATGAACGAAGTCTCCTTTTTGTGAGACTTTCAGTAAAATCTAGAGGTTATATTTACCTGTAAGGTACACCCTTCATGTACACGAACATGAGCACCTAATAACCAGCCAACAAGTTGTACTGGGTACCTCTTACATGCCCAATACCCTATAAATAGAGGTTTATTGTAGCTGGACCAATTAACATAAATTCAGAAACCGACACTACAATCTTTACATAGCTACGGATCTATAATCTAAAAACTAAAGTGTTTTTTTTCCCCTCAAGGAAAGGAAAAGATCGATCTACTGCTTATTAATGTAGAAAAATAGGCATAATAGGTATCACAGGCTCATTCCCAAACTCTACATGCTAGGTAAAGTGCTCTAAAAGCGTCAACCATCATCATAATACTTACTCAAAGGCACATTTTGCTAACTACCAATGCAATTCTGATCCATGCTCCCTGTAGTTTTCTTTATTTTGCCACTAGGCGCCAAGGATACATTTCAGAGCCGAAAAATTACTTAATTCACAAGGGATGAAAAGTCAGATGTCAAACAGCCTGAAAAGCAAACCTGCCACCTGTGTAAAAGTAGTATACATTTCATATTAACAACCCATATTTTTAGACACTATCAAGAGGCAAATCAGAAGCACAAGAGAAAAACAACCTCAACCTAATAAACGTGCATGATTGGTAAGAGGAGGCCTACCAGGCACAGCTTCCCTTGCAATAAATCTTACTTCCCATCCACCCACATTAACCTGCTCCTCATCCCTCACGGAATAAATTTTTTAAAAGTAGGGTCTAATTACTCTTGCTCGAAATTTGCTCAGAAAGTGGAGAAACATTCGAGGTCTGCCTTACCACCCATGAAAGCTTGACTTCACAAAAAGTATCCTGGGGTATACCCTGCGTTAGTACCCCCTTGCCTAGAGATAAATCCAAGGATACCCTTCAGGATCTGGAGTAGAGAAGGAATGTAAAAACCTAGCAAGACCCACCCGTTCACCCCCCAAAGAAAAGCTTGTCCCCAGGGGCTGCAGAAAAATAAAATCCGCAGAGCTGGGGTATTTCCCGTCTCCTGCTATCCAAACGCCACTAACTCGTCCCAGGATCTCACATCCTCCCTCCCGCCCGCCCCTCCCCCTCTACCCCCCCTTCTCTCCTTCCCCACGCAGTTTCCAGGCCCAAAAATTAGGAAGAACGACCGGGATACCAAAAACGCCTCCGACTTAGGGGGTCTCAATTCCACAGGCACCAAAGAATAAACTAGACGAGGCCAACTAAGCTTCACCGGTTAGGGGAGGTTGGAGGAAGCGCCCAACACGCCAGGCCGCGCCCCCCCACCCCCACCCGCACCCGCACCCCCACCCCCACCCCGGGCTGAAGCCTACCGCCGAAACTCCGAAACCCTTCTCACCGAAAGAGAAAACGATGTCTCTTTCCGCTAAGCAACAGAGAGGCCTAACCCACCAAGCCAAAGCTTTCCCAAACACCCTACTCAAAAGGCGCAGAGACCCAGACCGCTAGGACCCGTGAGATGGGGCTGTATTTTACCTCATGGGCTCAGCAGTCATGTTTTCGCTTCAACGCCTTGTAGCTTCAACGACCGTAGGGCGCCGCTTTGCGCTCTCCGGCACGGGGTTACGACAGAAATGCAATGGACTCTTAGTCGTCACTATAGCTGGTGCAGGATCCTCCCCACAGCTCAAAGGCCGCTACCACTGCCCCCGCCGCAGGAGCCGCGGAAACAAAGCGACGCCGCCGCCGCCGCCATTTTGTTGGGCCGAGGCTCAGGCAGAAGAATTGGCGCGTCCTCCCTCTTCCTCTTTCCATTACCGATTGGCTACCTCCTCCACAGCTCAGACTCTTATTGGTTACTGAAATTCACCTTCTTTGGGGGCCTGTTGCTAAGGCGGTCTACGTCATTTGATCCCCTCCACCTTTTCATAGGGGCTCCAATTCAGTTCCAATGACCTGAAAGTGCTAGTGACGTATTTTGACTTTATTCTGAAAATGATTTTTGATCCATCCTTTTTCTTGACATATTGACAAAACAATAACAGCAATTTACATTTATTGAGTGTTTACTATATACCCGGCACTGTACTAATCCTTTATCCGGATTATCTCATGTAATCCCTATTCTCTTTGAGGCAGACGGACGCTTGTTAACTATGTTTTCCAGATGAGGAAACCAAAACACAAAGTCCCATAGTAGTGGAGCCAAGATTCAGACCAGACACCACACTCTTAAAACACTAATCTATATGACCATCCTGTATGTCTTCTTTCCCATATTGCAGGTTATGATCAAGTTCTTTACTTTTCCAGATGTTTTATATAGACTGTTCAGCATGCCAGCATGCTTACAAATATATATATAAGACCAACTTGAAATCTTCATGTAATTCTTTCAATACCGAATAAACTCTAAACTGCTACCTGAAACACACACACACACACAGGATGTGATGTGAAGTTTAGCTCACAAACCAACCAATCAAGGTCTATTTCCCCTTTATTACAGAGGTTCGGCTGGATGATCTCTAAAAGCCTTTCCAGCTTTTATGTTCTCTAATTGTCCACTGGTAATCTCTGCAAGTCACAAATTAGATCTCTAAAGTCAAATAGTTTCTAATTTTATTTCCAAATTTATTCTGACATACATGTTTTAGTTCATTTTATTTGCTTTTCCTGAAATAATTACTCCTGTTGTATTTAGGTGCTGCTTTCTACTGGAATTTCAAACGGTGAGCCTTTGTTGAATGGAACACTTTGATAATCTGATAGACACAGGCAAATTTTTTTAAGATTTTTATTTATTCATTTGATAGAGAGAGACACAGCGAGAGAGGGAACACAAGCAGGGGGAGTGGGAGAGGTTGAGAAGTGGGCTTCCCGCGGAGCAGGGAGCCCGATGCGGGGCTCGATCCCAGGACCCGGGGATCATGACCTGAGCCAAAGGCAGACCCTTAAGGACTGAGCCACCCAGGTGCCCCGACACAGGCAAATTTTTAATCAGGAGTAGTTTGGGGCGCCTGGGTGACTCAGTCAGAAGAGTATGCTGTTCTTGATCTCTGGGTCGTGAGTTTGAGCCCAAAGTTGGATGTAGAGATTACTTAAATTTAAAAAAAAAATTAAAGAAAGAAGCTTATACACATTTCAAGTCATCTTTCAAATATTCAAATACGATTGGCAAGTGTAGAAACCACCTTCTATATCTGGTATACTGATTTTCTTCTTGTCTTCCATATGTTAAATATCACTTAAACATACAATTTAAAGAAGCTGTATTTTCCTCCTTGGTAAATGCAGTTAATTTGAAAGGAGATACACTCCATTACAAGACAGCACACAACTTTTAAACTAGCTCTTGGTGACAAGACTTCTTAACACTAAGCAGCTATAACATGACAAATTCCACAGAGAAATATCTTAATAAAATTATAATCACAGAATTTCTAAAATACACAACTCACACTATTCATGAATCATAAGAGCACGCCTTTGCTATTAAAAGATGACTAACAAAGTTTTACTGATATATTATAGTTGTATCACTGTCTGTAGCTGATTTTCAATGAGTTTCCTTCAGCCATATTTTAGAAGAAATTCAGTGGAACACATCTCTCACATTTTTTGTCACATTGCCACAGAAATAAACATAGAACCCTTTCTTGGACTCAACCACAAATGTGTAATTTGTGAATTTGCTTGGAAGAAAGACAAGGTAGATTACCTTTAAGAGAGCAAGTTGAATGAGAGAACAGATACCCTCATGATTTTCAATAAAAAAATTGAAAATTTTTTTATTGAAAATTATAGCAAATTCTATTTTATGTCAAAATCACAGTGCTTTGGCAATATCAATTAAATTTTTAAATGCATATTCCTGTAATCCAGGAATTTAACTTGTAGGAACTTATCCAACAGTTATATCCTATGTGGGAAAAATGAGATATCCACAAGACTATAGTTAAATGAATTATGTTATCCATACAACAGAATACCATATAGCTCCTTAAAATAAAAACATTTTCAAAAATCAGCTGTTTCTAAAAATGACTGATCTAAAAAGTAAAGTAAGATAATCCTGTTTACTCAGGGCGCCTGGGTGGCTCAGTTGGTTAAGCGTCTGCCTTCGGCTCAGGTCATGATCCCAGGGTCCTGGGATCGAGCCCCGTGTCGGGCCCCCTGCTCGGCAGGAGGCCTGCTTCTCCCTCTCCCACTACCCCTGCTTGTGTTCCCTCTCTCGCTGTATCTCTCTCTGTCAAATAAATAAATAAATAATCTTTTTAAAAAATCCCATTTACTATAGCATCAAAAAGGATAAAATACTTAAAAATAAACTTAACCAAGTAGGTGAAAGACTTGTTCTCTGAAATCTACAAAATATTGCTAACAGCAATCAAAGAAAATACAAATGAGTGGAAAGACATCTCATTCCCATGTATTGCTGGAAAACTTAATGTTAAAATGTTTCTACTAGCCAAAAGGACCTACAGGTTCAATAAAACCCCTATCAAAATCCCAATGGTACTTTCTGAAGAATTAGACAAAAAAAAAAAAAAATCCTAAAATTCACATGGAAATTCAAGGAACCATGAATAACCAGCACAATCTTGAAAAAGGGGAGCAAAGTTGGGGAACACATATTTCCTGATTTCAAAACATACTATAAAGCAACAGTAATCAAGACAGTGTGCTATTGTAAAGATATATATATATATATATTCCAATATAACAGAAAAAAAGAGCCCAGAAATAAACTCTTGCAGATAAGGCCAAATGATTTTCAACAAGGTTGCCAAGACAACGCAATGAGGAAAGGACAGTCTTTTCAACAAATGGTGCCGGGAAAATTGGATATCCACTTTCAAAAGAGTGAAGTTGGACCCTTAACTCACAGCATGAACAAAAATTACCTAAAATATATTAAAGAGCTAAACCTATAAAATTCCTAGAAGAAAACATAAAGGAAACACTTCAGGACATTGGATTTGGCAATAATTTCTTGGATGAGACACCAAAAGCATAGGCAACAAAAGTAAAACAGACAAATGAGACTATATCAAATTTAAAAATTTCTGCACTTCAAAGGAGACTATAAATAGAGTGAAAAGGCAACCTATGGAATGGAAGAAAATATTTGCAAATTATATATCTGATAAGGAGTTAATATCAGAAAATGTAAGGAACATCTATAACTCAACAACAAACAAATACCTTCATTAAAAAATGGGCAAAGTCAGTGACCACTCAGAATGTGAATGATACAAATCGTAAAATATTACCTTCAGTTACAGAAACACAGCATTTACATTGAATATTTTTTAAATCCCATTTTATCTTTTTAAAGATTTTTTTATTTATGAGAAAGAGAGGCATGTGTGATGGGGGGAGGGCCAGAGGCAGAGAATCTCAAGCAGACTCCCAGCTGAGTGCAGAGCCCCCCAATGCAGGGCTCAATCCCATGACCCATGAGATCATAACCTGAGCCAAAAACAAGAGTTGGATGATTAACCGACTGAGTCACCCAGGCACCTCCTAAAATTCCATTTTAAAGAAAAGGTGTTAGTAGGGCAAAAAGCCCTGGATGATACATCCAAAGACATGAAGATTAATTATCTTCAGTTGATATGTCTGAGTGATTTTTTTTTCCTGTTTTCTATTTTTCCATTTTCTCTGAATTTCCCACAATAAAAATATATTAAAGTTGATGGGAGAAAGTTAAATAATTTTATTTGTTGTAAGCAACAAAAGAACTATCCATTTTCTGCTAGCAAATATGAATTCAAGTAGCAATTATGCCAACATAAACCTTAGCTCAATATTATTTTATTTTATTTTTTAAAAGATTTTATTTATTTATTTGAGAGAGAGAGCACAAGCAGGGGGTTGGGGAGAGGGAGAAGCAGGCTCCCCCACTGAGCAGGGAGCCAGATGTGGGGCTCCATCCCAGGACCCTGGGATCATGACCTGAACCGAAGGCAGACATTTAACCGACTGACCCACCCATCTATCAAAATACCCAAAAGGTTTTTGATTACTTGAAAAAAGATTTGACTCAATCTTACCTTTTATAGGTATGTTCAGATTTTCTTTTTTTTAAGATTTATTTATTTATTTGAGGGAGAGAGAGAGACGCACATGCAGAGAGGGGAGGGGCAGAGGGAGAGAGAGTCTTAAGCAGACTCCATAGGTGGAGCCCAATGTGAGGCTTGATCTCAGGACCCTGAGATCACGACCTGTCTTGGTGGTGCAGTCTGTAAAGCATCCAAGAGTTTGGGTTAGAGTTGGATGCTTAACAGACTGCACCACCAAGACACTCCTAGATTTTCTATTTCTTTTCAAGGCTGCTTTGGTAGTGTGTCTGTTTTCAGAAGTTTGTCCATTTCATTTATATTATGTAGTTACTTGGCATACGATTATTCATAATATCCCATTATAATCCTTTTTACTTCTGTGATGTTAGTAGTGATATCCTCAGTTTTATTTCTAATTTTAGCAATTTAAGTCTTCTCTCATTTTCTTAGTGTAACTAAACATTTATCAATTATGTTGATCTTTTCAAAAAACTAACATTTGAATTTGTTAATTTTCTCTATTGTTTTTGAATTCTTTTTTTTTTCCTATTCTCTATTTTGTGTGTCTTCATTCTAATCTAATCTTTAGTATTCCTTCTGCTAGATTTTCGTATAACTACGTCTATATATTTTCTGTATTTAGGTTATTTTATATCTATAATTTCTTATTCTCTAGTTACTTAAGTTATAAAAT